GTGAGGTTTTCTAACGCCTTGAAACTCTGCTGAGTAGGACTTTTATCTGCAAGCTGTGATACCCTTCTGGGTCTCCTTCCTTCTCCAAGGAGTGCTGTCTAATAGAGCAGAAATTCCATAAAAATCAGGGAAAAATTTTATTTTGGAGTGAGGTAAAATTAATTTGGCTTGAACAATGCATAATGAGATCTTACTAATTTATTTTTTTGCTGACGTTGTCTTACAGTATGTGTGCACTTCTTTATATTCATTGTGTAGGTCTGTACTTTTTGTTATGTGCTCTGCCTGCTTTTACTGTGACTCATGGTTGTTTCATGAACGGCTGCAAAAGCTTCAGAATAATTGTAGCAGCAGTTGGTAAGACAAGTCTTTTTTTTTGCTTGTTTTTTAAGTGAAATAATGTCTTGACAATTAACACTAAAATTGCCACTGTGTCTTTAAATGTATTTTTACATCCTTAGCTTGTTGATTTTTTAAATTACAACTAATGCAATCAGTGCTTTACTGCTGTTATCTACCTACAGTATGAAGTAGAGACACTCTTCCTTTTGCTGCTGTTGTCAGGATTCTTTTATTATTATTTTTTGGCCACTGCTCAGTAGCCACCTCATTTTATGTTTCCGAACACTTATTTTACAGCGGCCACCTGCATTAATTGTTCATATGAGTTATACCATCTGGCTACCGCAAAGCAAATCCTCCAATTCAAAACCATAACTTTGATTGACTCATTGAAGTTTCTCTTTTGGATTTATAGTGGTGCATTTTGGCAGGGACAAGGTTTCAGACACTGTGGATGAGAAAGATCGTGTTTATCAAATCAACTGTTTTACTTTATTTATGGCAAAGGGAAGGTACCTTATTAAAGAGCCTGGGGAGCTTTTAGCTTGTCAACATGTAACTATATTTTTACAATCTCAATCAGCACTTAAAAATTTCAGATGGAGTGCTGAAGAATTAAAAGGATTTAAAACATGTCCTTGCACAGTGGGCACACATTTTTGGTTGGGTTAAAAAACAAAAAGCAACCCCCCCCCAAATCCCCCCCCAAAACAAACAAACAAACAAACAAAAACTATGCACTCCTCCTCAAGGACACTGACGCCTCCAGGCTCAGCAGGCCGCTGTGGCTTATCTGCTGAACTGTAGTAGGCTTTCATTAACGTGATCAACCAAGCTGCTACTTCACACAAGGTTGTTGTCTTGATACGAGGAGCCCAGTGTAGGCAGATACTTGCTATTCTGCTGGAAAGCCATAGCTGTAACATGGAGCATCTGCTTGTCATCTATTTAAAATTCTCCTTATTTGATGTTCACAGAATAGATGAATGGTATTATCATTATAGCAGAACTTTATTACTTCAATAATTACATGTGTTTCTGTCATAATGACACTTTACAAAGGCTTAAAGCAGTGATGGAAAATGGTTTTGTCCACACTCCTCATTCTTTGGTTTTATTTAGCTATTCACTGTGTTTCACGCCTACTTGTATTTTACATCAGGCTTTATCAAGACACCAATAGTTTATTTTGTGCAGTGTGATATTGTGAGGTTGCTTTATGATTTATGATTGCACTGACCTGCCATACACAAGAGAGCCAACAGACTTCAAACAGTCTAGCTTTGGCACAACATCTGGTCTACGAGGTAATGTTGCCTTTGTGAATAAAGTGATATAAATTGATGTGGCAGACAAAAGCCTCTGCATTACATGTCACACTGAGGTGGTATTGAAGTATAGGAGGATGTGGCATTTGTTGCTGCGGAGTGAGGTGCAGGGCTATAAACAATGTATTAGAAGTAGTTCTTTTATTATGGAAGGTGTAAATGAGGCTTTTTAATGTAGTAGCTTTTTAAAATCTTTTATTCTATAGCAGCAGCAGCTGGAGTCTTTGAATTTGCTTTCTAAGCTGTGGTTTTTGTTCCTTGAAAGTCATTTGCTGCCGCATTGTTAACACTTACTATATGTGGTGTTAATATTTTTTAGGCAGTTGTTCTCACCCTTCTGTTCCCAATTAGTTTTTCTTAGTTGTGACATTGTTACCAGCTATCACTAATTTGAATATCATCACTGCACAAAGTCTCGACATCCTATAAACATGAGACATTTAATTATTCATAATTAAACTTTTTTATATTCACTGTGGATCACACGCTTGAATGTGAAAGGTGTCACTTATCGTTCACTGTTCAGGGTTAGAGTAAAGCTGCAGGTGAACCCGACGTGCATTCACCAAAAGCCAATGCAACGGCCCAGAACGTCTAGTTTTTGATATGTCATATTTGTCTTTATTTTTAATATTCCAGTCAGTAGCTCCTGCAACAATTGCTTTTATGGAATCATCCATCTGTTTAATTGCTGTGGCTAAATGCAATGACAGTTTTATTGATGAGGCAACTTAATTCCAGCAGCTGATAAAACTGGATCAACGGGTTGGTGAGAGTGGGAATGAATTGTAATGTGTACACTGTCACTCCTTTCATTTGTCTCAGGTAGTCATCCTGCAGTAGTAGAACCCCCCCTCTCCTTCTCTCTTGATACCTCTACCCCACCCCTTCTCCTCTTCATACAACACTTTCATTTCACACCTGTAATCTCTGCATCCTAAGCCCTTTAAATCACCATTAAGCCTCCATTCATTCTTACATAATGATCAAATTCATCCCAGTCCATTTACCCCCAAGGTTTAAGATTTACAAAGGATTAGAGGTTGAAAAATCAATTTGCTTGCTCTTGGATGTCAAGTAATCCAGTCTGGAGATTTGTGGGTGCTACTGCAGTCTAATGGGCTATGCACAACATGGGAGGTGACATCCAGTGTGACACCTGTGTTGTAATTCAAAGGGAAAGACATGCTAATACATATGGTGTTATTATTTAAATTCACAGGGTAAATTACGCCATTATCTGGTGTACAGAGTAATCATTAAAAGAAGGGCCTTCGTCCAGTGATTTCAAATTGCAATTTAATGGCTTGTGCGACATGCTGAACTTCAAACACCTGCTTCACACAGAAATATCTACAAAGTGAATATTGTATCACTCTATCGATGTATTAACTGCAGCCATGGAGCTTCACCTTGTGGTTTCAGCATCCCTCAGAACACTGGAAATATTTCAGGCCAGCAATAAGGTAGATGCAAATTACATCTGACTGTAATCCTGGACCCTTCTTAAGTCAAGGCATAAAGTTAATTGCCATACAGACAAGGGGGAGAGGGGGTTTATAATTTGTCCTCATTTTCAGACTGCTTTGGGTTGTTTTATTGTGAAAGACAGTTTCCATGAGGGTATGGCCCTTGGAAGGTTTAAAGGCTATTTTATTGGAAGATCATAAATCTCTGTGACCCCATCTGGACAATAGATAACGTACAGTAGTTGTAGCAAGATTCGTGGATATATGGTGTAGGTAAAGACATGTAACAGAAATCACAGGTGGACATCTTGATAAATGTGCAGTGCACATGTAAGACCTCTTACGAAAATGAATATATTACTGAATAGTTAATATTAGAGTTGAAATGATCAGAAAGGCTTGGGGACTTTGTCAGATGAAACAAGACATTTTAAGATGTTGTTTTAGACTCTGGGAAATTGTGATAACCATGATCAACTATGAGATGTTTTCTAAACCAAACAATACACCGAGAAACTAACCCTAAAGTTAATATAACAGGAATGTCTGTATATTGAAATATTTCATTGGCTTTGGTGACTGTTCATTGGTACAGGAAATAGCAATTAGGAGAGTTATGAGGTTGCGAAAAGCCAATGTTTAGGATGGAGTACTTGAAGAATGGTGTTTTGTAAACTAATCTGTTGCTATCATTATATTTTATGGACAGTTGGTAATAGTGTTTTTGTAATTGTTGTACACCTAACCAGTGAAGTTTACTGTGTATAAGTGACCTGGAAGTGTCTGCTGTGTGCACAGTGTGTGTCTGGATCACTGAAGCAATTAGTGTCGAGAGGGGGTAGGCTTTTATCTAGCATCGATGAGAAAAATTGACTTGTTTGATTTCTGCAAACTGTGAGTGGAGCTGTAAAAATGAAGATACAATTTCTTGTTTACATGATGGAGTTCTTATTAGCCCAAACACTCAGAACACTTTATAATTAGAAAATAGCTATGAAAACCCATCAAGATGCCCAGAGACGGTTCCCAAGAGATATGATCTACAGGTTTTATGATTGCATCATGCAGGCAGGGCATTAGCTTGAGTGATTAATTTGTGTAAAGTGTGATGGATGCAATGTGAACAAGTGTTTTTGTGTAAAGGACTGCTGAGATTTTACAAAAAGCCACAACGCAGAGTGGACAAATGTATTATTATTATAATATTGGTTCCTCATGTAACTTACTGAAGAAACGGGGCATGCATGTAAACATAGCATGGTTCATCAGTAATTACACGCACCTGTGAACATGCAGGCCTTTGATTTAGGCTTAGATATTTGCTGACAAAAGGCGTGTGTCTGTGGGCAAATAGAAATGCCCACAGTGAGCCATTCAATAATATCTGCAGTAATTTACAAGACACCTCGAAGTTCCTCATGTTTATTAAGTAAAGGCCCGAGTGTTCTAAACTGCATTGGACTGACACGTTTTATGAACCTTTTCAAAAGCGTGTCCATGATATTTACAAGGTCTGTCTTTCTGTGCCTGGAATGAATTATAGTGTTGGCTTATTTATTCATTTAGTCATAGCTCATGAGTGGTTGCATTTGCTGGTAGTCTACTTGGTCTTAAAAGCCATTATAGCATACATGTGATGATCAGCTTTCTTCCTCAGTAAGCAGGGCAGTGGGTTGATATGTCATCGCAGTTTTGTTTGGTTTTTAATAAACCTCTGTCTGTCAAGGAGTTTAAAAGATGTGCATTGACAACTTTGCTTTTTTATTTCACTGTGTTGCTGCTTTTTTATTGTTTTTTTTTTTTTTTTTTACCCGATCATACACTCTGTTGAAGCTAGTAATGTGTTTCTGTTGTTTTGTAGGTGATTCTCATGTTGACAAAATACTATGACTTCAACTCTGGCAGAGTAACAGAGAGTTCTTTATGGAGGTAAGATTGCCTGTCTGGTACTATCTTCTATATCTATATGTATATATGTGTGTGTATATAGGAATATTAGACGCCAAAAGCCTCTGCCCAAGATGCTGGGACATAAAGTCAGTGATGTCAATATACAAGGACTAAATAATAATAACAATGACTGCAAATTTCACAAATGCTTTTCAAACATTAACAACGAGATCTATAACAATACAAAAATCCAGGAATCCACAAATGGGCTAACATTTCATTTTATGGCTGCTTGTTTTTGAAATATCACCAAGCAACCAAGACCAGTATCTATTCTGGTGGCAATGAATGACATCTAAAATGAACTCGGCAAAGCGGTGCCATTTAGTTTTGGAGGAGAGTCAATATTTTCGAGTCTATCCCTGGTTTTGAAAAGATTTCAAAAACCTGACCATTGTGAAGATTCAGCCAAAAGATGAATGTGTCCTCCGATCCTCCATTTCAGTAATAAAACATGAAAATCACCAACATTTAAATTACCTTTTTACCCAAAGCACCACTACTAATACTAATACTAATAATGCCAAGTATGATGACCTCAGTCCCTCGCCATGCTTGCTACACAGGTTATTCTTGTATATTTTGATAATTAAAGAAATCTCCATCCATCTAGCAAATTGCCTCATGACTTCTGCTGTTGCAATTTTCTGCTTGCCTGATATGCTTAATGATACCATCAGCATCTTAACTAGTAGGTGTTGCTCCATTCTCCTTTACTTTCCACCACAACCTGTTTAATTTATCCTATAATTGAATTTTAGGTCAACTGATTATGGGACCACGTATGAGAAACTTAACGAGAAAGTTGGACCAAAAACCATACTCAGCTACTTGTATGTGAGTCCAAACAACAAAAGGAAGGTAGGTTTCCACATGCCTATGCTGAGCCAATCTGTCAGTTGTTACCACTGTGTAGCAGCGTTGCTATCATTGTCACTACAAAGGCGTCTGCATCATGCATCAGTTCCAAGCAGCATTTTTTTTTCCTTTTGGTTCTTTTTTTTTTTTTTTTTTTTTTTTTTTTTTACCCGATCATACACTCTGTTGAAGCTAGTAATGTGTTTCTGTTGTTTTGTAGGTGATTCTCATGTTGACAAAATACTATGACTTCAACTCTGGCAGAGTAACAGAGAGTTCTTTATGGAGGTAAGATTGCCTGTCTGGTACTATCTTCTATATCTATATGTATATATGTGTGTGTATATAGGAATATTAGACGCCAAAAGCCTCTGCCCAAGATGCTGGGACATAAAGTCAGTGATGTCAATATACAAGGACTAAATAATAATAACAATGACTGCAAATTTCACAAATGCTTTTCAAACATTAACAACGAGATCTATAACAATACAAAAATCCAGGAATCCACAAATGGGCTAACATTTCATTTTATGGCTGCTTGTTTTTGAAATATCACCAAGCAACCAAGACCAGTATCTATTCTGGTGGCAATGAATGACATCTAAAATGAACTCGGCAAAGCGGTGCCATTTAGTTTTGGAGGAGAGTCAATATTTTCGAGTCTATCCCTGGTTTTGAAAAGATTTCAAAAACCTGACCATTGTGAAGATTCAGCCAAAAGATGAATGTGTCCTCCGATCCTCCATTTCAGTAATAAAACATGAAAATCACCAACATTTAAATTACCTTTTTACCCAAAGCACCACTACTAATACTAATACTAATAATGCCAAGTATGATGACCTCAGTCCCTCGCCATGCTTGCTACACAGGTTATTCTTGTATATTTTGATAATTAAAGAAATCTCCATCCATCTAGCAAATTGCCTCATGACTTCTGCTGTTGCAATTTTCTGCTTGCCTGATATGCTTAATGATACCATCAGCATCTTAACTAGTAGGTGTTGCTCCATTCTCCTTTACTTTCCACCACAACCTGTTTAATTTATCCTATAATTGAATTTTAGGTCAACTGATTATGGGACCACGTATGAGAAACTTAACGAGAAAGTTGGACCAAAAACCATACTCAGCTACTTGTATGTGAGTCCAAACAACAAAAGGAAGGTAGGTTTCCACATGCCTATGCTGAGCCAATCTGTCAGTTGTTACCACTGTGTAGCAGCGTTGCTATCATTGTCACTACAAAGGCGTCTGCATCATGCATCAGTTCCAAGCAGCACATTGCACAAGCACACGTGAGCCCTGTGGAACGGATGCTGACAAGGTGGGCCACTAATTCCCCCGTCTACTTTCTTTTCTCGTCTCAGATCATGTTACTGACCGACTCCGAGGTGGAGAGCAGCCTGCTCATTAGCCTTGACGAAGGGGCGTCTTATCAGAAACACAGCTTAGCCTTTGATATCCTCAGCCTGCTTTTTCACCCTGAGCAGGAGGACTGGATCTTGGCTTACAGCCACGACCAAAAGGTAGTGTGTAGCTGTCAGATGGCATGAAATGCCCAGAATAAAAACAGTGGAAAAAAACCTCTGGATGTGAATAACAGCTGCTGTGTACACTTTTATTTACTGATGTTCATGCTTTTGTTAACTTGGTGTGAAGGCTATGCCAGGTTTTTGTTTTTGTTTTGTTGGGTTATATATCACAGTCCTGTTGGTTCACAACAAAAATAATGTCTCTATTAAATGCTACAAAACACAGGTTGCTGTCATGTATAAAAGCATTCATTTTGATAATTGCGGCTAGCTTCCAGTGCATGGTCTTGACAAGCAGACACCTGCTACTTAAGCAAAGGCTGCAGTTGCCAAAACAAAGTCCACTATTGACCTGCTTCTTAAACAAGCCATAAGATCTGGCTGCAGATTCTGACATTGAGTGGATGTTTCTCTGACAGCAAAGGGGAACGTTAACAAGGGAGAAATGCCCAAACAACCCATTAGGTCAGACTCGGCCCCCAGTTTGATGTCGGAAGATTTTCACAGAGAACAACAGTCAAGATTTGAGAAGTGAGATAAACGGTGCAGGGAGGGAGATGAAAGCTTAATTTAGCGCCACTGACGAATCAAATTAAAGACACTCTAGAGAAGTTCACCTCTTTGTCTGTGTCTTTGTGAAGCAAATTTTTTAAAATCTTTTTTTTTTTCTTTTATTGAGCTAGAATGAAATTAATCTTGGTTTCATTTTCCATTTATTGATTGTCTGTCATGTCTTTTAAAAAAAGTTGTAAGCTTTTAGATGAATCATAGATTTTAGATAAGATGTTGCTTATCCCTGTAAAGCTCCAAGCTTAAGTCATTTGCTGCTTGATCATAATAGCAAGATGACCGGCCTTCAAATGCCTGGATGCAAGTCTGGTTTTGCAGTGAAAAAACAGCATAATAATGATAATAATAAAGATACAATGACAGTTAAATTAGTTATTTTATATGGCCCAGTTACTGTCAAAAAAAACTAATGCCTCTTTGTATGTCCTCCCCTCTTTTTTTCAAGTCATCATTACAAATGGTCTTCACTATTTTCTTTATTTTCAAAACCTGGCTTCAAAGTATTACTGTATTTTTTCACGAACTGATGATCTTCACATAAAATATTCGCTGAGTAGAGCAATATTTATATCAACATTGATGCCATAATATTTACAGATTGGACAGCTGCTTCATAAAACTGTTAAATCTGGAAGTCATTCTCTTGGATATTATGATTTGGGAAATTATGTACTGTAACTGGCTTGTCTTATGCATTTCTCTTATTTTGCAGCTCTTTGTCTCTGTTGAGTTTGGGAGGAGATGGCAGCTTGTGCATGACGATGTCGTCCCCAACAGATTCTACTGGTGAGATCAACAATCAGTCAGAGCCTTTGTCTTTCTGGGAGAGAAATGCTGCAACACTACTGTATATTTTCATATGCTCAAACGTTGAATAATAGACAAGCTCAGAGCCATAGCATTACATAATTAAACTCTATGGATTTGTCACAGTACATATATACTCTATAAAATAATTAATATTGCAAGTTTCTGATCATTCAACATCTCATTTACAGTAATTACAACAAATCCAATTTGATCCTATAATATGCCTAGCATCTAGAGTATTAAGTGCGCTAGAAATGGCATTACATTTGAAAAAAAAGCCAGTTGTAAGTACTTGCGTCCTTTACTTACTCTTAACACCAAATAAAATGTACTGCAGTATCAAAATTAGTTTTAAGTACTTTAGACTACTGTAGTTCAATAACAAGGAGAACAAGATAAATCTGGAGGGTTGTGAGATTATAAATGAGAGAGGAAGGGTTCTGTATACGCCATAATAGCATGTTTTTAATGTAAAATCCTAATTTGAAAAAGTAACTAGTAACTGCAGTGGTCAGTTGAATATATTATACTATACTGAGTAAAAAGTATAATATTTTTCCATTAATTGTTTTAAAATACAATTATTAAGTGGTATAAAATGGAAATACTCAAGTAAACTACCAGTATCTCAGAATTCTACTTAAGTACCATACTTGAGTAAACAGTTTTTCACTACTGAATACAGTAAAGGTAAAAAATTCAGTATATGAATACATTACACATTTGAATCCCATTATCTTGTATTACTGAATTCCACATCGAGCTTGGTTTTTATAGAGTTAGCTCTTCTATTGATTAATAATTTATAGTATTTTTTAAATTTTTTTTTTTTTTTTACAAAATATACTGAGCCTCTAGTACACATAAAAATAAATTTTGGATTCTTTTAATGCAGCCTGCTCATGAAATATTGTTGGGATACCACTGTTTATTACAAATCAAACCACATCCCAACATTATCCTTTAGTCTTTCATTTATTTTGTATGATCTATGATATATTCTCCAGGATCAGCACTGACGATGTGGCAGAGAGCTTCTGGGTGTTTCTCTGAGTGTTTTAGCGATATTAGCTGTTGGGCTTATGGCCCACATTATGTTTAATTTATAATGGCTTCTTATAATTATTGGCTGCAAAATCACTTTAGAATTAAAAATAGCACCATCAAAGAGGCTGGGCTGAACTGACCTACAGTGGAGCGATATTTGTGTTTTTGCATTGGTCTGGAAAATACAATGAGCCAACATTTTAATATTAGTGTAAATAAAGATCACCTCAAGGAAGGGGTGATGGCTGAGGAGGTATTGGACGAAAACAAAGCACAAACACGATTAATGAGGCAGTTATTTTTATCCTCAAAGGAAGGTGGATATATGACAGTCATTTCTTGCGGATGTTGAAGAGTAATTACACACCGTTGGTGGCAGATTCATTCTCCTAATTGATATAGCAAAAGAGCTGTGGTAAACTTGGGGATAGCAGTACAGGTTTGAAGGTTGCTCGCAGCACTGTCATCATTAACGGAAAACAACAGCATGAAGTAAATTCACAGTAAAGAGTTTTGGCAAGTCTACTGGTGTGTGGTTAGTTACTTAGGTACTGTATGCCATTTATTGTGTTGTGCAAATAGTTTCTTATAATACATGAAAAACACAGTAGCAGTGCTGAAAAATGGGTTAGTCTAGAACATAAATTCTTAGATATAACATTATACTGCAAACAAAGAACTTGTACTAAACTCTACAACCAAAATGCGCCACAAAATGACCTAAGGTTTTCAAATTCACCAAAATCACAAAACAAGCAAAGCACTTTTTCTTCAGGGAAACAATGTGCCCGAGCTCATCTGTGCACAAGAAGGTCTTTGTCTTTAACTTAAATTCAGCTTCACATAAGGTGTTACACCGTAGTTATAATTTAAGTTATCATTTATTTTTGTACCAAGCATCGACAAGTTATCAGGAACAGTTTGCACTGATCATGATGGATATTACAGTGCAGTCTCTATTTGTTAAAAAAATAAATAAAAATTGATCATAACAAATAAAGCTCTCATCTCATTAACCCCTGAATGTCCGTGCAAAATCTCGTTATCAAAAGATCTTTGAGTTACTGTTCACATGTTCACAAATGAGGTAGTTTGTACATTTTGCACTCAACATTTTTATATAAATATATACTTGTATATTCTATTTTGTATCATTGTTTACAGTTTGAGTCAATATACTTAGTTAGCAGAGCGATCAATCAGAAACCAGATATTTCATATTTGTAAATGTAAGCACTTTCTTTTGTCTTTGAGAAAATAAATCATACAAAACATGCTGAGATTCCCTATCAAAGAATTACTTTCATCACATTCTGCACTGCTCACCTTATCTAAAAAAGAAACAGCTGACAAATGAGATTTATAAAAACATGTTAACAGGCGGACACAGTGGTATTTGTTAGTTATAGGGGAGAACAGAGTAGCATTGCAGGGCTTTATTTAAGAGCAAGGGCTGCTGTTCACTGATAGAACTGGATGAAGTATTTGACAGAAAGTCCATTAAAAGAGATGGAGCTGTGAAGCAATTACAGAGTGCTGAGGAAAGCAGGACGGGTGCTTTTTATGTTATAGTTCAGACACAGTATGGAAAATGAGAAGAAACCAATCTTCTGTCACAACAGCTGCTATTAATACAACAAACGGTCATTCCTGTCACTCTGCATTTAATAGCTCTCATGAAGAATCTCTGTTGATAGTGAATGAAATGGCTAAGTACACCTTACCCATAAAACACAGTGCAGATCAAATGTCTGTCAGGCCAGCATTTAAAGATGTTGTATTATATATCTCCTTACAAATTCAAAATTAAACTAATGTAAACCACAAATATTGCTCTTCTGATAACAGAAAAATAAATTATTACCATGAGCTGTGAACAGTTTTTTTGTTTTTGTTTTTGTTATAATTATTTACACAGAATCAAAGAAAAATCCTTCAGGCAGCAGCAAAGTTGTTGATAAAGCGTTTTGCTTCAAAGCCTTATTAAGCCACTTGAAGTTCAAAACAATTAAGTTAAAATTTCAAAACATTTTTTATACAGCACTAATACCTCACAACATTTTTCTAACCTGAGGGTCAAAACCAAGGTTTCCTAAATAAATATGAAGGGTAAGAGATCATTAAAAGGATAAGAGAGAAAAATGATAAATATTTCCTTTGTCTTTTATGTCTTTTTTCCCCCTTGCATAGAAAGCTGGGTTGCACCAGCTACTCTAAAATTTAGGCTACTAAGGTTGTATTTAGTCCACTAGTTTGAAGTGATTTAAGTCATGGCGCACCATTAAAACTCCAGGAACTAAAATAACATAACATATATTATACTGCTAATCCTTTGCAAATGTAGTTTTATATATGCATACATGACATGTTTCAGAGTAAGTAGTATTCATGCCATTTATAATGAGTGGTTTTATGCTATTCTAACTGGCACAATTGAGCTAGTTGCTTAAAATAACATAGCACAGGACTCTTTAATTCGAGGTATACTATGTTATGTTTGCCCCTCCTTGAACCTCCACCTTATTGAGGTGGAGGGGTTTGAGTACCCGAGTGATCCTAGGAGCTATGTTGTCGGGGGCTATATGTCCCTGGTAGGGTCTCCCAAGGCAAACAGGTCCTGGGTGACGGGTCAGACTAAGAGTGGTTCAAAAGCCCTTTATGAATAGATTAAAATCAAGGACCGTGACGTCGCCCGGCATGGCGCAGCCGGGGCCCCACCCTGGAGCCAGG